GCACGCGGTGAATCTACCTACGTCACCCGACGGAATTTGGCCACTTGTGGAGCTCTGATTGATGAGCTAATCCATAATGCACTTTGTGGTGCAGTTACTATGTATAATTTAGTGCAGGTGCGGGGTAGTCGGTGGCACTAATCTCAAGAAGCCACGCAGCTTTCAAGTGGAATATCTTGTTTAGCCACAGGATCTTGAAGGGAAACCGACCTAATGTAAGACTGGAAGTTACCCTGAATATTAACGTCGAGTTGTGGCCTGCGTTAAAACTAACGCTAAACGCTGTCTATAGCCAAATCCACCCAATTTGTCGACTCTGGAAGAATTGTTCATTGGCGAAACAGTGCCTGTGCGCCCTCAAGTTTTTGCCCTCTTAATCACTTCCCCGTCCTTGAGCTCATTTGGCTTACAACTCAACTACTGTTTAATCAAGATGGCTCTCCGGTACACCTCTATCTAGGCCACCAGCTTGTTCGTCTTCGCCTAGAATAGAACCCTAGTCAGGACCCCAAGTCTCCACGTTTGTTAAACAGGCTGCATTGATAACGACACCTCTTAGATTGAAGGGCGGGTCGGCAATTGATGGAAATAATGGCGAAGAAATAGAAAATCCGGCATTTACGAAGACTCTCACTGTGGACTTTGATTGCTACTGGCTTCAGGATCTTGTAATACACGAAACAGACATGAGGCTCGTCACCTCACCTCACTACACCAGACTTTCTACGTCTTCTATCCAGACTACCTAGTTCTTCTACAATTCGTCCACTTATTTCCTGCCTCATCTCGCCATCCTTTAACGATCATCATCCTTATTAATCATCACCACCCGTCCACCACTATTTCTATGCATTGATACTATAGAGGATTCCATTACCAGCGACAATGAGGCCACCACGATCGAGTTGCTGCGAGAACAGAACCAGAAGCTAGAGTTTGTAGCCAGTTTGCCCATTTGAAACCGTACTGACTCCACAAAAGGAACTCGTAGTGCTTGCGATTGCCAGCAACGTACTCCAACAACAATTGCTAGACTTAAGTTGCGCGAGCGCGACGCGATCGGCAGCATCAACAACGGAGATCTTAGATCTGCCCGCGATCTCTCAGAGGCCGTTGCTACGGGGATCCAAATTCAGCAGCGCGTAGCGAATGTTGGAAACATGAGTGTGGTGGAACAAAGAGAAGTGCCGTGACGCGCTCTGTGGGGAATGTTGTGATTTGGTACGTTGAACAAAAATGCTGATGAAGACTCGACTCTAGTCATGAGCTGTGGATTATGGGAGGAGGGAGAGCACAGTGGATGTAATGGTGCGGGTTCCCAGCTGCTACTTGACGTACTCCTGCTTGATCCAGGAAATCTCCTCGTCGACCGGGATGTGGTACGTAGACTTCCGAGCGTTGGCGCTGCGGCCCGGTGCGGTGTTTACGCATTTGTCACACGGTGACTTGCAGGCGATATATTTGCCGCTCTTGATTTCGGAAATGGCCTGGAACTTGACCGCCAGAAGATGCTCCACCACATTGAGCGCCAAACCGATCTCTTTCTTGCTGCACTTCTCTAGGATTTCTGCAGGCATTCTTCCCAGGAGCACGAAAGTAGACGACACACCCTCCTGCTTCCAATGGCGTGAGTGTAATGACTTCCCGGTCTGATAGTGCCTTTGGTGGTATGTGATTCTTGCATACACATTCTCCGCCTGGCCGACGTAGAGTCGAAACCACGCAGGATCGTCACCTTTGGTGTGAATATTTATATCCCTTGGCTGGTCGCATTTGGCTCTACGATATCGATAAGAATACAACCAATAGGAAGCTTCAAGTGATAGGATCTGCAGCGAAATACTTGAGCAACACCTGCCCCCTAGGCTTTTCGTACACTAGCCTAGCACCGCCTGGGGTTCTGTAGTACATTATAAGAGATCGGAAAAGGTCAGGCTTAATAAGACTGAAAGCTTTGTGAGCTACCTTAAACGGTGTCAGACTGTCCCTGTACACAGTGTTCAACAGAAATTCCGAGGGTTGCGCCACAACGGGCCAAGGGAGCATTGCACTCCGCCTCGCACATCACTCCCGTTCAAAATGGGCTGCTGCGATCCTCCATCGCTCGTACACTCTGTGCCCTAACCACCTCTGGCAAAAAACCCAACATGCTCTCCTATTGTGTGGAAAGTGAAAGTTCATTCGGCCTCCACTAGGGCGCTTCAGCCTATGTTCGGATCCATGACCCTTCACCGAAGATATTTCCCAGCCAGCGGCCTCGAACGCGGCAACTATCGCCTCCCATCTCAGATTTGGATTGCAGCCGGACCCATCTCCGAATTTGAGGATACTGTGGAGGTCCTCGAGATGCTTGCCTCGCCTGACCTTGTATAAGACTCCGTTTGGTTCCACGATGTCGTCTTCGTCGTCGTCATTCTCGGTTTGGTCGTCATAGTTCGCGAATGGTAGTTCGGCAAACGCTGTTTTGGTGTCTCGAATTGCCTTCTTTCTCTCCTTTACGTTTGTTAGTACAGTAACAAGCCACAAGTCTAGGCACACTGGTACGCCACTGCTTGGGGTCCCCGGCATGGTTTCGAAGACTTAAGGGCGATGTCAAGCTTCAACCAGTGCAGATTAGACTGCCTCTTGACTAATTGCCTGCTCAGCAGCCAGGCTACCCCTAACAGTGGTGTCGAGTGAGCAGATTGGAGATAAACGGGATTCAGTCCGTGTGCCCAGACTTATGGCCTAGTACTGTACGTGCAAATCTGTAACTGAAGCTGCAGTTGGATATATTGCTGGATGCACGGCTGTTGGTACGGCGGCATAGACGTCCTCGTTGCGACGCCAGACCTGAATCTGGTGCCAGAGCTGCTCGTTGGCACTGGGTAGTTCTTTGAGGTTGGCTTCTAGGAAATCAGGGGGAGGGCGGGCAGCGGGAGAAAGCAATGATAGTGGCTGGTTGTCTGGGAGCTGTCCAAGTCTATCACTTAAAGTGTAGTGTATTCTAAGGAGGCATAGAAGCCGTTCCGCTGTTGTTTTGATAGCAAATGTCGAGTGGTCGACATTCTTGGTCTCTTGGAGGGCGTGGACGAGGGTTTCTGGGTATAAGCCGGCTCCTACCCTAGCATTTGCGATTGCTCTGACAACTAGAGATAGTCGGGATTGGTTCGGGATGGATGTGGTCTGGTATAGAAGAAGGTCATCCGAGAGCCGGTTGATGTACTCAACTGTCCAGTACCAGAGCTCCGTTACTACCTCCTCGTTGCAGGCGGTGCTTCTTGCGAATAGATCATACCAATCGCCTGAGTCAATAGTGGCTGCAATAGTGTGGAGTTGACGGTATAAAACAGCTTCGTCTATACCGTGGAAGATCTGGTCTATAACCGCGACATCCGACGATAATGGCGTTCCAGCTGTGGCTTCCTGTACAAATGTTCTCATGTCTTCTCCGTTGCGCTGTAGGTCTAACAGAAAGTCTGCACTCTGCCGCATTAGGGTTTCGAGGGTTATTTGGATGTCTTCAAGTGGTGGCCATGTCGGCATTGTGCACGCGTTTGGAGTATGTCGGGGGAGTCGCCACGTTGGGCTGCGGTGTGATATTTCCGAAGGTGAACAAATGTCAACAGCGATGGTCGCAATGTTGAATATTACAATGTATATGTTGTACTGCGCCCTGAGTGCAACTTCGGCCACGGTGAAGCACCAAATATCTTCGTCTGTCGTAGGATCCTGAGGCCCTTGGATAATCTACCCGTATGCGAGGGGGTTGAATGAAACGTGTAGTTGTTCTACAGGCGTAACAGTAGTGAGCTTGTCCCATGCTCACTCATATTGTCGTCTATCGAAATCGAGGAAATCTGTTGGGTGACGAGACATGCGTTCGTGTAGTAGCTCGAGGAAGGTGTTACCAGAGAGAAGGGATTTAATGGTGATATTCGAGTTGAGAATCATAAATTCCGCGGAGCCTGCATTGCCCAAGGGACTAGTCATATTTGCGGTGCTTGCAATAGTCACGACGTCCCGGTATTCTGCAAGGATACCTCCGTCTAAAACACCCTGCACTGCTGATTGTTCAGATACAGTCTTAACGATATGCTTGCGCTCTGCAGGACTCGTTGACTTCCCCAACGCCTCTTCCACTTGCTTGAAATTGATTCTGCATGTTTCTTCGTTTACTTCGTGTAGCCGGACCAGGTGCGTCGTGATTAATGAGGCGGCCATCTCGGTTGGTAGGTGTTGGCGTTTGTTCGTTGCACCCAACTTCTCGCAGACTAGGCACTGATGCGTCATCGTGGAGACGAGACGCTACGCGATGTTATGAATTGCTTTGGACTTGGAGGTAGTTGAGGGCTTACTGCGGCGCGGGGCTGTGAATTGCTGTAGACTTGGGGTGATGAAGGGCTGGTAGCGGCGCAGCCTCGTGAATTGCGGCTCTCGGTTGCTTCTTGCAGTTGTTGCAGGCGAACAATCACTAATTTCGCTGCATCATCAGGCGCTATCCAGGTGTTGTTCTTCGGGGAATGAATCCGTCGCAAGAGTTGTAGCGGGAGGTCATGATGGATATGGATAAGCGGGGGGTAGGCGTATGGCTACGCGCTACGACAGGGCGGACGAGGCTGCAAAGCGACGCGGAGTAAATTGATCGAAGTGGTTCCCGGTGTGAGCCGTTGCCTATGCCGCGACACTTCACCAATGGTTGGTCTACCGATTACCGGAGTATCCGGCATTCGAATAACGATAATGAAGGGTCTCAAAGGATAAAAACCTGAGTTCAAAACATGCGTGTGGTGATGAGTGTTGGTAAACGTGCACTGAAGTCCCCGCCTCTAGCGAGGCCCATTACCCACCTGCAGCTTTCGTGGACCACAAAAAAGCGGAGACACTAAGCGGCGCACCAAGCGTTCTTTGCATGTGAAATCCTGCAAGTTTCACAGCATGGGTGTACAGGAAAGTGCAAGTAGCAGTGTGAGTGCTATAGAATATATACTCAAAAATTGATACATTCCTTAACAACAACATCCTTGATGGTCTAGTGGTCATGATTTCCGCTTGTCAAAGCAGTCTGCTTAACAAGCGCGGGAGAGTAAGCAACCACCGCAGCCATTGCCTGATTATCAATCATGCTAACGGATGTCACAGCCAGGGTTCGATTCCCTGTCAGGGAGTAATTATTCTTTTTGCATTTTGATTCAATTTTTTGATTCGACTCTTATAGAGTGGTGGGAAGGCTGGGTCCATGAAACCTGGACAGGCAGTGGGCTTTTGGGGTCTGTAGGGTCTCTAGGAAGCATGTTTTAGGGCACGTTTTTCTTTTTCTATGCTTATTTGCACTGAGGAATCGAATTTCACACTGCTTTGTCTCGAGTCATGGTTGTTGCATGATGGGCACGCTTGATGAGTTTCAGACGCAACACTTAGTGTCTGATCCCACAATAAGTTCTACACTGGAAGGCTGCAATGTACACAGAAAGACAAAGAATGTATCGAAGTTCGCAGGTCGTCATAGTGACTATCAGATCGGGCCGCCCATGAGACACCTCGCTTTTCTTTCTATGTATGGAATAGACTGATGCAGGATCTGACCCCACCCGCTCACGTCGATTGTGGCGACGGAGGAAAGACTTTTCAGCATCCTGATATAGAGACAAACACATGCAAAGTTGGTTTGTAAAACGTTTTTTAAAAAAACTGCTTTTGGACGTGCAGGGAGATTTTGGTGGTTTCGAGGAAAGAACTTCGCTGCTCCACCGAGAACTTCGCCAACACTCTAGGGTAGGTATTAAGCAAGTATTGAAGCATACCATCTCAAGGCTAGTGAACATGCAGCCCTAAGCTTATACTTTCGCAGAAAGCAACACCTACCTCTACGATGAATTCCAACGCCCACAACTCAGGGCCTACGGCTCATACCTCGGCCCCGACGCCTGCCAACAAATCAACGTCATCGCAGCTGTTCACACTGCAGTCCATCCCAGGGCAAGGTAAAGGTCTGGTCGCTTCACGTGCTATCACCCCGGGCACGCTCTTGATCAGCGAAGCCCCCCTCTTCGCCATCCCCTCCGCAGCCAGCGAGCGCGATCTAGCAGCGCACCTTCGGACTCTCCCCAAAGAATCCCAACGCGCCTTTCTCTCTTTGCACAATTCGCGTGCCGGCGCTGGAGAGCCGCTATCCAACATCGTCCGCACGAATGCGTACCCCCTCGGTCCTGGGAGGGACCTTGGGGGCATCTTTCCACTCATCGCCCGCATCAACCACAGCTGTCGTCCGAATGCGCAGCACGCGTGGAATGGGAACGACGGGGAAGAGACTGTGTATTCGGTGCGTGAGATCAAGGAGGGCGAGCAGCTCTCGTTGTCGTACCATGAAGGAGGACCATCGAGCGAGCGGCGGAAAGCTCTGAAGGAGTTTTTTGGCTTTGATTGCACGTGTGAGATGTGCGAGATGCCGAAGGATCAGCTTGCCACGAGTGATGAGCGACTAAGGCGGGCGAAGGTATTGGATAAGGCGATTGGGGAAGCCAAGCGCGTGCGTATGACGCCGGAGGACGCGTTGAGGGATTGCAGGGAGCTGGTAAGGATCTATGAGGAGGAACGAATTGCCGACCTTAGGGTACCGAGGTTGTACTATGACGCGTTTCAAATTTGCGCAATGCATTCTGATAAAGCACGAGCGAAGGTGTTTGCTAAGAGGAGCCTTGAAGCACGGTTGATGTGTGAAGGGGAGAAGAGCGAGGAGGCGGAGGTAATGGCGGGACTAGTGAAGGATCCGGCAAATTTTGAGAATTTTGGGACGACGAAGAAGTGGAAGATGGAGAAGGTGCCTGTAGGGCTTGATGAAGTTGAATTTGAGAAGTGGCTGTGGAGGGAGATGTAGAGAGCTTGATGAAAGGAAATGGCTGGAAGTAGCTGCTTTACCTGAGATGACAAGATGGGCATGAGTCTACATGAGAAGGATAGACCTAGAGGTTCGTTTCATTTGATGAGTTTTCTTAGCTATTTCAGTGCGAGAATTGGGGGGGTAGTGCGGAGTAACCTCCGCGTTTGCAAGGATCGAGAGATCCCGTCGGCTTCGATAGTGCAGCGAAATAGCGGAACTCAAATGCATGATGAAGTATGTAAGCCAAGATCATCTTTAAATATGTTCGACTCTGTAATTATGTATATTATTGTTTTGAAAGTGGTGTATTGCAAGCAGAAGGGCGCTTAAGCAGTTTAGACTAGCTTGTTCCTGTTCAGGGTTAGGCCGTGCATCCCAAATATTCTGTTTCTCCACCCTCCCAGCTGGCCTTCATGAACACGGTGAAAGTTCAGAAACCTAGGTTGGAAATGCGTAGCTTTCTTCTTCAACTTCCGGGTGCGGTGAGGTTACGTGCAGACTCGCAGGATTCAAGGCCACCTAGGCAGCTTAAGGCTTCCCTAAGGTCAGATATGCGGCACGCTGAGTTGCTTTTCAGAGTGCAACATCGCGCGTCTATCTACACTGGATGGTCGACATGTACATTCATTGAAGCTGAGCTGTTACGGAAATAGACCAAAAATAGAGCTGATATACAGACCTAGATCGACTCTTTAGAGTTCTCAATCTTATAGACCTTCAGGGGCGGGAACGGTAAGTCTAGAATTTAATTTTTTCTGAGTCTGCTTGTGTCCCAGGAGTTCAATCGTCTACCAGTCTGAGAATTTCCCTCATCGCCGCTACTCTAGCACTCTTGTCTCACTGAATCCGCACCTTTCCTATCCTGTCAGCAACACTGTTTTCTTACCGAACGAGGCCACACTCATCGAGTTTGAAGTTTCGGCGAACGAGTGCATTTGCAAAGTATTATCATCTAGCGCAGTCAATCATCTCCATGTTGAAGCTATCCAGATCTGTTCAAATAACAAAATCACCCTCTGAGTGGCAGAATCTGTATTTGACATAGATAGATTCACAAAGGATTATTTCTTAAAGACGTACTCCATCCAGCCCAACCTAAATGAGAGATAATTTTATACGACTGACGATAGGAATGGGAGGTCCTATGACGGTGACTTGAGCTCGAGGCCAGAAGTGGGGCGCGGTCAACTAATTTGCGCCGCAACCGCCTCGATCTACAAGAAAGAAAAGAAATACAGAGACCCTGGCCTTGGCAGAGGGCTTTGATGGCTGAGCATGTTCACTTGCTAGAGCGTTCTGGCGTATCTGATAGCGCAGATAGCGAGGCAGAGTCGCGAACAAATACTACGTTTCCGATTCGATGTTCTGGTCGTCTCACTGCCGCGTGTGCCTCCCAGGTGCTGCTGCCTGTCTCGCCCAAGGCAGCTCGTTTGTGAACCTTGGGTACAAAACTCATGTGCGGAGCCTCGTGGGCGATCCCTGGCCGCTGCTGCCAATCCAACGCGAGATTTGCCGCTAACGCCGTATGCGGCAGTGGCTAGGCGTTTCCTGGCCTAGACCCCCAGCCTTGGCGGCAGGACTGTGCAGATGTCAAAAGTGAAGTTATCTCGCGACAAGACCCGTCAAGAAAGCGCACAAAATTCGGGCTGCTGCTCTCGTAGACGGCCTCGCAGCCAGGCTCTGCGCGCGCAGTTTGTTGTTGTTGACCGGCGCGGCGCGGATGAGGCAGGCTGTTCGTTGCGGCCCCTGATGAAGCCGGGTGGCGCCCTGCTAGCGCGCACGGGCCTGCCTTCTGCACTGGCAACCAATACTTAAGAAAGTGCTAAAACTCTCGGAGCCCGCCTTCCTCTCGCTCGCACCAACCTGGCCGCCCCTCCGACTCAACACCGTCACGTGACCAGTCCACCAAACCCAGCCAACGTTGCATGCATGGCTCATCACCCACGGAGCACGCCGCGCGACATTAATTGACATCCCGCGACACGCCCCCATGGCGAGCAGGTATGTGCCCCACCGCTCCACTCCCTGCGGCCCTGCACATGCTAACAACAATTCCAGCGGCACGCGGCTCGACCGCTTAGTCACGTAAGTAATGTTGTTTACTCCATCTTTTATGCGCTTGAGTGACGTCTCGGGATGCATGTCGCTTGTCACACCTGCAGCCCGTGTGGCTGGCCCGTTTGGGAGATCTGCTCTCACCCCTCACCGAAGCAACTCTCCACTGTCACATTCGTCCCCGGTGCTTATCCTTGTGCCCTCGCCACTTGCAGCACACGCATCTGTCGTGCCCTGGAAATGCCTCTCGTCCCGCTAACCCCGATCCAGCCTCCTCGAAACCGGCAGCACTGCGCTGATTCGCAACACCGCCGCCGACCAGCTCGCCGACGTTCAGAAGCAGCACCCCGACGAGCTCTTCCACTTGCTTACCCGCGTTGTCCCGTACCTCAAGAGCCGGAGCTGGGAGACGCGCATTGCTTCTGCTAAAGCCATTGGCGGTATCGTCAGCCATGCGGACAAGTTTGACCCCAATGCCGACGACGACGTGAAGCCGGAGAGCAATGGCCATATCAGGGAAGACGAGGCCGGCACGAATGGCTCCTCCATCAAGGCCGAGAACGGCGATGCGAACGGAGCTCTTCCCGTGCCAGAGGACCAGCTCGACCTTGCGACCCTCGACATCAGTATGATCATGAAGTATGGCAAGACTCTCGCTGGCAGCGGCGGCAAGGAGTATGACTACAAGCTGAACGGCATGGACCCTGCTGCCCGCTTCGCCCATCAGAAGAAGAACCTGACTCTCCGTCTTGGCCTTGGCGGAGAGTACATGGAGGACGACCTCGTGACTGAGAACGATGTCGCTCAAACACCGGGCCTCCACCCTCCTCCTATGCATCGTCTCGACACGTCCGTGGCTCGCCAGGACAGTATTTCCTCTGGCGCTGGCTATCCCTCCCACTCCCCACTGGATGGTACCAACACTCCAGTGGATGGTGAGAACGGTGCGCCTGCTCTTAGCAAACGACAGCTCAACGCCTTGAAGCGCAAGAGGAAAGACGAACTCAAGAAAGGCGCCAACAAAGTCCACATAGTAGACCTAGCCGCCCGGCGAGGAAGCACCTTCTCGCAGACTCCCACTGCTGCTCAAGCACAGCCGCATCCAGTCAAAGTGGAGCCTAAAGAAGAAAATTCCGAGGAAGGAGTCGGCGACTACTTCTCCCTGGATCGAAAGGGTGAGGATGACGACCGCAAGTTTGTCAAAGAGTTCAAAGGTGCTCCTATAGAGGAAAA